CCCCCCCCCCCGGGGTTTTCTCTTCCAGTGCACTGCAGGGAACGAGGGAACGTCCAGAGCTGGAGACTCAGGACCTCTAAGGTGAGTCAGGGGCTGGATGGGACCTCCCAGGGCTCCTCTCCAAGCCCGTGGGGGACAACGTTGTGTCCCCAAACTGTCCCCACCAGCCCTGACCTTAGCCCTGGGGAGGCTGGGGGGGGGGAAATATCGGACTGTTGGCCAGGGGTTGGATGGGCTGGGAAGCCAGGGAGAGGAGCAGATGTGCCAGCAGGCGGTTTTGCAGCCCATTAATCCATTACCGGCACTTTTTTAATACATATAGTATTTTTTCCTGTGGTTTTTATGTGCTTTTTTTTTCACCCCCCCCCTCCCCACCACCACACGCTCCTTCGCCTTCCCTGGCGGAGAGCCTGGGCTGCCTCTCACCCTCCTCTTCCTCCTCTCCCCAGGGATGCGAAGCCGCTCGGGGGGACATCGTGGGGTGGCACCCCAGGGTGCAAAAAGGGGGTTCGGGCCTTAAAAAGCTGCCTGGCTGGGGTTAAAAAAGGCCACCCCTCCGTGGTCCTGCCACGATGCTCACGCTCCCTCCTCCCTCCCTCGCCCAAGAGACTGCAAATTCACCATGATTTTGGGGAAAGGACGGCTGGCAGAGGGGGAAAACATCGTGGGGTGGCACCCCAGGGTGCAAAAAGGGTGTTTGGGCCTTAAAAAGCCACCAGGCTGGGGTGAAAAAAGGCCATTTTGGGGAAAGGACAGCTGGCAAGAGGGGGAAGACATCGTGGGGTGGCACCCCAGGGTGCAAAAAGGGTGTTCGGGCTTTAAAAAGCTGCCTGGCTGGGGTGAAAAAAGGTGATTTTGGGGAAAGGACGGCTGGCACGCTCCTTCGCCTTCCCTGGCGGAGAGCCTGGGCTGCCTCTCACCCTCCTCTTCCTCCTCTCCCCAGGGATGCGAAGCCGCTCGGGGGGGTCGGATCTGGATGCTCCTCGCCGTGCGAAGGATTGGGGGGGGGGACCTCTTCTCCCACCCCAACCTGGTGGGGTTGGGAGCAGCACCCAT